GAAGTTTCTTCCTTTTCTCATAGATTTCTTCCTTTACTATGCTCTTTTTGTATTTCTCCATCTCTCTCTGTCACTTTATCTGTCTCTTTGTTTCTCTCTCCACCTCTTCCCTCCCCCCCCATACATACCAATACTAGGATTTGAACTAGGGATTTTGTGTTTGCTAGACAAGTACAACGTATCTTCTTAACCTTTCTTCTTTTGAGATAGGTTCTCACTTTTTGTCTAAGCCAGCCAGGACTGTGATAATTCTATTTGTGCTTTCCAGTATAGCATAGATAATAGGTATTTTAGGTTTTTCCATTGAGATGAGATCTCATGGACATTTTAGCCTGGACTTTTCTTGAATCACAGTCCTCCAGATTTCAGCTTCCAGAGTAGCTTAGATTATAGGTAGGAGCCACTGTACTCAGCTAAGCATATTTCTTAATTAGGGACATCATAGTTTTTATTTTTATTTATTTTTCATTTCTATACATTTCTATTAGCATATATTTAAAGGATTTTTAAGTCTTTTTTATTGTGAAAATACCGTACAGAGAAGTTACAATTACATGGGCAAGGTAAAGAGTACATTTCTTATCAAGCATTGTTGCCTCCTCCTTTGTTTCCCCTTCCCATCCTTTCCCATCTACCCTGCTCTGCAACGCCCCCCCCACACTTCCCCTTCCCCCCCACGCAAAAGTTGTAAAGTTCATTTTTTGACATAATATCTTGTACATCTCATTGTTGCAATGGGTCTACCTGTATCCCTATTTTAAAAAATTTTCCCTTCCCCTCCCCAAATTATACCAACATCAAATACAGTGAAAACAAGGGTTATACCGTGGGGGAGGGACATACAAAACAACAAAGAAATCATCTTATGAATATGTTAGAACACAATAGCAAGAAAGAAAAACCATTTAAAGGGTTTTATTGTTACATTTCTATACATGCGTACAATGTTCACTGGTCAAATTCTACCTCTCCCTCTATACATATATATGTACTTATGTACCTATGTACACACACACGCACACACACACACACACACATACATACATATATATATATATATATATATATATATATATATGTTTGCCAAACAACTGTTTGCAAGATAAGCTTTATACTAGTATGACCCATACATACAGCCCTCAATATATATAATTTCTAAGTGAATAGATGGCCATATAGTTCAGGTAAATCAGATTACAAATTCAGTCAAACATTACTATGTTTTTTCTATAGTAACTATATTTCTACTTTTATTTTTAAAATATGTTAATTATTTTAAGCATTCATTCACCAAAGCAGTTATGAATACAGTCATCTTGACCAATATCACCCATTTCATCATTCTCCCAACCCACCCCCTCCCTTACTTACCTTAAATTTAGATTATGTATTTAATTTTTTCCTTTTAACAAAGCAGTTTGTATATACATTGCATCTTGATCTGTGTCATCAATTCAAAATCTTTAGCCCCCCCCCGCTTTGACTCACCCTTATATTTCTCAATTCTGTGATATATACAATAAATTCTTGCCTGCATTCTTCCCCATTCCATGCTTCATTCTTCTATCCTTCTTCCCTTAGCCACACCCTATCCTGCTGAGAATACCCATTTCTTGGTACTTATTTTGTTGGGCTTTGACTTAGGTTTTTTGTTGTTGTTGTTGTTGTTATTGTTGTTTTTAAGAATTACACTATTTGTGCTCTCCATAGAGTCGATTCTACTTCAGTTAACTTATTTGTAACCACCTTGCTTACCACCCAGTGTTTTTACTTATAGATTTATAAGTACATTCTAGCTATAACAAATGAGGGGAAAGCATGTAACCTAAGTTTCTATGTCTGGCTTACTTTGCTTAATTTTTTTTCCAAGTCCTTCCATTTCCTTACAAATGGTACAACAACATTCTTTCTGATGGATAAGTAGAATTCCAATACACACACACACACACACACACACACACACACACACACACACACACACATGCAACATAATCACTCCATTTTCTTGATCCATTTGTCTGTGGCGGGACAGCTGTACTGATTCCATATCTTGGCTATGGTAAACAGTACTTCAATAATCATGGTTGTGCTGGTAGCTTTAGTGTGGACTTGTTTGTGGTCTATTGGATAACTGCTCAGAAGTAGAATTGCTGGGTCATAGGGAAATTCTATGTTTAGTCTTTTGAGGAATCTCCATACTGCTTTCCAGAGTGGTTGAACAAGTTTGCATTCCCAACAACAGTATAACAGTTTCCTTTGGGCCATATCCATGCCAGGATGTGTTATTGTTAGTTTTCTTCATGCTGGCCATTCTAATTGGGGTGAGGTAGAATCTCAATATTGTTGACTAGAGATGTTGAACATTTCTTCATGTGTTTATTGACTATTCTTCTTCTGAGAAGTCTCTCATAGTTTTAAGTGTCAATACCTCTAAATAAAAAAATTAATCTATTTACAAAAAGTCCCTTTGAAAATGGCAGCTCTTATTTTCTCTACCTACTACTTAAAAGTGTTTCATAAAGCCTTGAGAATGTAAGAAGTACCTATTACATGCTTTTCTTACTGTTCTGTACAGATAATAAGAATGTATTCGTATCATTGTGCTTTGGGACATGGCCATGGACAGTATTTTCATGCAACATAATCACTCTGAAATGTGAATTTCTGATTGTGTTACAAGCCTCTTTCCTAGCCCAGAACATGTCAGGGAAGAAATTACAAAAGCACATATTGAGAGCTAAAGGTATATGTTAGGCCAAGTACTGGTGAAACCAACTTAGTCTTAAAGCTCACAATCTAATACAAGAGACAACCAATAGCCAGGAAATTATTTAATTTGTGATTGAAGGAAATGCTTAGGAGTTGATCTGTGAAAGTGAAATAGAATTGAGACCAGAAGAAGAGCAGGAGTTATCCATAGTAACAATAGGACACACATTCCTCATACAAATGCTTGAGTTCTTTTTTTTTTTTTTATTTTATTTGAAAACATACTGTACAGAGGGGTTACAATTACATGGGCAGGAAAATGCATACATTTCTTACCAAGCATTGCAGCCTTCTCCTTTGTTTACCCTTCACCTCCCTTCCCAGCCTCCCCCCTCCCCCCCACCCAATCATACCCCCCCTCTCTCCCCCCCACCGACATTGTAAAGCTGGTTTTGACATGACATTTTGTACTTCTCATTGTTGCAACAGGTCCACCTGAATCCTTAAACGACTTGTTTGTCCCCGTCTCCTCCACATGTTATACTGACATCAAATATAGTGAAAGCGGGGGTTACACTGTGGGGGAGGGACATACAAAGCAACAAAGAAATAATATTATAAATGCGTTAGAAACACATGCATGAATGAAACAAAAACATTAAAATACATATTTGAGGGTTCGTTTTCCTAACATCACATTCTCTGACTTTTTCCGCTTGACTCATACCTATACTAGATATTGCAAATAAGGGAAACCATGGGACCTATGTTTCTTTGGGCCTGGCTTACTTCACTTAATATAATTTTTTCCAAGTCTTTCCATTTCCTAATAAATGGGGCAATGTCATTCTTTCTGATGGAGGCATAGAATTCCATTGGGTATATATACCACATTTTCTTGATCCATTCATCTACTGAGGGGCATCTGGGTTGGTTCCATAACCAATGGGTTTCAGGAAGACGACATGAGATCAGTGACTTGCTAGTATGGCACTTTGGATGATAACCTATGTGGGTGTGGAGCCAGCCTAGGTTGACGCCTAGAGATAAACAGAGTAGAATGTGGTGGCCTGGGTGCCAGAGTTTTCCCTGACAGAACAGCTGGGCAAGAGGGAACATGGTAGAGCCTGAGTCATCAGCCTCAGAAGACTGGAGTGCAGTGGCCTGAAGAAAATAAAGTTTCCCCTGAAGAAGGCTACAGGGAGCATGCCTTCAGCCCAGAGCTGGCAGAAAGTAGAGTTGGAAGGAGGAAAAACAGATGAGGATGGAGAAACAGAGTTTGTTGAGCAGGATATAGAAGTCTGACTGCTGGAGAGGGATAAAGAGTGCTAAAATATCAGGAAATTAAGACCTAGAACAGCATGAGGGTTCAGGATGGAATATTCCTCAAGTTGGTGTTGTGTCAGTACTGAGCTTGGACCCAGGACCTGGGCCCTCTCTCTTAGCTTTTTAAGTCAAGATAGGTGCTCTATTACTTAAGTTACTGCTCTACTTCCAGATTATATATTTGGTGGTTAATTGGAGATAAAAATTTCAATGATTTTTTTCCTGCCCAGGCTGACTTCATGTCACAATCCTCAGCCTTCTAAGTAGCTAGAATTACAGGATTACCAGCAGTGCCTGGCTCTACACTGGTATTTAAAATACTCTGTGTGTGTGTGTGTGTGTGTGTGTGTGTGTGTGTGTGTGTGTGTGTGTGGCTGAGGGTGGGGAAAGAGTAAGGAAAATCAGAATGGATGCTGTGGGTTTAATTCTGATCAGTTTTAGGGGTAGACTGCCTCTTGGAATGGTCATGGGGTAGACTGCCTCTTGGAATGGTCATATTTGGACTCTGGCCGGAAGTGGTTAGAGCTTAGTACAGGAGTGATGGTGAAATTAATGTCAGGTCTTCCTGTGCTTAGCTTGGCAGCCACTTGAGCAATCATGGTTAGAGCCTTGTGTGCTATGTTAAGAATACACTGGCTGACCTGGTTGAGGAGGTTTTAGGTACCCAGGGTCTTCTCTCATCATATTAATCTCCCAGAGAGATAAATGAGTTCTCATACTTAAAAAAATCAAATGTCTCTTCCTTTTCTTCTTCCTTTGGTACTAGGTGTGCTGTATTATTTATTATAGCACTGATCCTTTCTGCTAAGTAATTTTCTAAACACATCACAAGTAATCAGGAAGTGTTTTTGAGGTGACAGTTTGCTTTGAATTTGTAAAATCTCAACATCATTTGCATATTTTAGTCTCTCCAAGTTCTTCATTAATGAGGATGTTTTCAAGGTATGTTCTTTTACTTCCTGAAGGGGCAAATGATGTGAAAGTCCTTCCAGGTCAAGCTGTTTGTCCTACTCCTGGGTGCCGAGGAATAGGCCATATCCGAGGTCCACGTTATGCAGGACATCACAGGTAAAAACTTTCCTTACTTAAACTATTTCCAGGATAAATGAAAGCATGTGGCATCATAAATGAGTCTCTTGGACTGCTGCTTCGTCATACTCCCTTACCTGTCACTGCTGCTCTGTTTAAGACCCTGCTCCCTTCCTAACACTGACCTTGTAGTGATTTCTTGGATTTCTGGGTGATTTTCCAGAGCTTTAACATATTGTTGAATCTTTCATGGGCTCCTAACAAACAGATGCTCTCCTGTAAGTCTTGCTTTCTTTTTGAACATTCTAGAAAGTCTTTTCTTCCTCTTCTGCCTTTCACCCAGCCTCTCACTTTGTTTTCTCCCTTTCGTATTCATTTGGAGAAGAAATAAAACTTGTGAAAGAATTGAAAGTAATTGTAAAGTTTCTAATTTGTGCTTTGAATGTTTGAGAATAATGTGGAGTAGATGATGCTTATAGAGGAAAATTAGTACAAATAGCTATCTGAGAATGTACTGTTTTTGTCTCTGTCAACTGGGAAAATGATGCACAGATGAATTATTTGCAGTTAATGGCTAGTAACAGAAGATAGAAATAAAAATTGGAAAAAATCAGTATTAAATTCACCAGAATATACAATTGTACAAAGCAAACATCATAGATAAGTGTGAAGAGAAAGGAGAGAGTCCTAGAACATGTGAAGCAAGAAAACACTTTCTTTTAAATGAAAGTCAACTGGACGTCCTCTCCCTACCAAGTGGTTGGACTTCCTGGAAATCAGTGTTTAAAACATTTCTGTAGGGATCAAAGCAAATGTTACGGTGAGACATAATGGCAAAAACCCAAAATAGTATGTGCTCAGATACATTAACACTGTAAAAAGATTAGTGTAGTATCCATAAATATTAACTTAAAGAGCAGGTGCAGTGGTTCACACCTGTAATTCTAACTCCTTGGGAGGCTGAGAATGGGAGAGGAGACTGGGGGAAATATGCTTTGGGCAACCTCATGTCAATTGATGAAAAGCTGGGCATTGTCGCACACCTCTGTCATCTCAGATTTGTGTGAAGCATAAATATCATCAGGCTGCTTTGGACACGACATGAGACCCATTGGAAAAATAATGAAAGCCATAAAGACTGGGAGAGTGACTGACTCAAAAGGTAGAGTGCCTACCCTAGCAAATACAAGGTACTGAGCTCAAACTCCACAAAAATAAATATTAAAGACTTGCAGACATACCTTACTTGCTACTCAGACAGGTTTGTGGGCTCCTGGATTTTGACTGTGAGGTCTGTGGGACAGTCTTAGGGAGTGAGGAGACAGGAATCATTGTCCTGCTCCCAGCCCTTCCAGATGCATGGAGAAGCCAGATACTTGGTCATGGTATTATTCAGCTCTAGACTTTGTTGTGCAGAAGGGTTCTCTAAAGGCAACAGCAAAGTGTTCCAAAGCTTAATGATTCCAGGATCTCGGATATGAAAAATGAAGAGTAGTAATTCCCTGCAATTGGCTTCTTTGAAGTAGAAATGATAACATTTTCAAAGTTGGATGGTGTTTGAGCTGGCAAGTCTGTGTAGAACTGAAAATCAGGAATTTCAGACATAAAGTAAATGATGTCAAGCACACCTGTGAAAGGATATGCAAATAGCTTGTATTAGTGTAAAAATAAAGTCAGGGGCCAAGTTTCCTGGCAGAGGTCATACTGGCCATACATAGTCCTTGGAGAGTGAGGACCACAGGTAATGCAAGGCAGCTCTAGTTAGCATTGGGCATCTCTGATCTTCCTTTCATTACTTCTCATTGTCTTTTACCAACTTCTCCATAGCTTGAATGATAGACATGTCTCCAAACCCAGATTTGGGTTGAGATGAGGTCTTTTGTCCTGGCTGACCCTCCCACATTCTGTCTCCTGAGTAACTAGAGTTTTAGACATGAGCCACCACACCATCTGTCCTTCAGTAATTTCTTTGCTAATGTCTGTTGAGATATGCACATGCAGGCATGTGCACGCACACACACACACACACACACACACACACACACACACATCATTATAGGTTTCCTTATATGTTAAAGAGTTCGTAAGAAAAAGATGAGAATCACCATATTCTCCTAAATCCTAGATCTAAGCCTAGATTTATTAGAATAACTTCTAGTTTGAGTTTCCTGCGCAGTCCCCCAAACAGTACATTTTTCCTCTGGTCACTGATGCATACCTTTAGAAAGAAGCAGTATTCCAAGGGGCCTCTGCAAGTCTCCTGTCCAGAAGATTACTAGGAAATATTTGTATATTTAAAAGAAGTGGAAGAAGAGGAAGAAGAAAAGGTAAAAGAGGAGGAGGAAGAAGAAGAAACCAGAAATCCCCTCCAGTTTCAGCCCCTCCAGCTTCAATAAGGCTATATAAAACATTGCACTTGGTTTTTGCTTGCAAAGCATGTGGGAAAGCAGGATGCTAGTCGCAGACTTGCTCTGGGGGAAGGGCTGTTTTCCAGCTTCCTGGTAAAACGTTCCCAGGCTCTGAAGTGCTTGCATGTAGTGAGAGCTGTCTCTCCATTTTATGTCAGGATTTTCAGTGCTCAGATGGAAAGACTGGAGTTTTAAAAGGAAGTAAACAGTCTTTTAAGGTAAGGTCTCACTTTGTACTGCTGACAAGACAGTGACATCCAGATACCACTGAAGATATCTGACAATAATCTATCCCTTTAATAAATCAGGTGGAACCCTGCAGGGCCCTTGAAGATGAATTCCACACAAGTTTATTTTCATTTTCATTAAGATAGTCAAGGGGTTAACAATAATATTCCAGGCTGTTTGGAATTCATGTAGAATCTGCATAAACTATTATTTGAAAGAAATTGCATCAGTCCTTATCGGTATGAAAATAGGACTTTTGGCACCCAATTATCGCCTAATTTACATTTTATTTGAATGAATTTACATACTGAATAAAATGAAGTAGGTGTATTTGTTAACATAGAAATATTTAAACATGGCAGCACTAAGACTCAGGCTTTTGAGTCTTTGAGTATTCGTAGGAAGTTGTTTTTGTTAAATGAGTAGAACAATCTCAGGTAGACTTGATTGACCTCCAGATTAGAAAATACACAGAGACCATTTATCTGGGAACTAATAGTTACATTCCTTATGGAGTCAGGTAGTATCACAGCATGAAGGGTGGTATGTGCACTGTGAATAGACCTCACCTGGGATGACATAAAGAAGAGGGGCATCTGCTCCCCCACTATTCTGGTGTCAGATGTATCTCAAAGAGTTGTTGGTGCTCTTCACTCAACAGCATGACTCAGCCTCTAATTCTAGTTTTCCTGTCATCATCTTGTCAGCTCAAGAATAGAGACAGAAATTCCTCCAGATAGATGCTTGTGTTTGTGTGTGTGCGTGCTGGTACTGGTTCTTGAACTCATGGCCCTAGATGCTGTGTGTGAATACACACGCATGTTCCAATTCATTCATTTCATCATTTGGTTGGCTATTTCTCCCATTTTTTGATCATTTTTAAAAATGTGACTTTATGACTTGTGTGTTTTATGAACTTGTTCCATTCTTTCTTGTTGACTGAGTATAAATTTACTTCTGAACATACAAAAGTCCATCTTCTGAGGGGAAGTGTACTCGGTTTGAAGTCAGGACCTCTTGCTTGCTTGGCTGGAGCTCTGCCACTTGAGCCAAGCCTCCAGTTCCCAAAGATTATATTTTCATTGCACTAAATTAAGATGTTCAGAGACTCAGGTTTGAGTTCTTTGATCCTATGATAAACTTAAGTACAGTTATAACTGTTTTTGCATGTGTCTTGGTGATGTATGTTTTTTTTTCCCTAATAATTCTTGCCTTATTGCATTTTGATAAGAGAATGGGACAAATTGTTTTGCTTTGGGGAAATTTATTGGGTTTTATATTGCCTAATTGTCAAATTAAAAATACTATTAGGCATATTTATTCTGGTTTAGCTTACTATGTAGTTTTTAGTTTTAATCATGTCACTCCCATTCCCATGTTCTGGCTTAGTGTATTTAAGCTAGAGCTATCAAAAGTAGATATGTTAAAGTCTCCTTACGTCATTTTGTTCCTGCTTATATATTCTGCACTTATTTTTTTTATTAATGCAATACCATACTAGTAGTGAACAGAGATGTCTACCTGTTGTAGTCTCATTTTGCAATCTATTTCTACCGCAAAGAGTCCCTATTTGTTGTTTGGAACTAAACAATATTATAACAGTAGACAGTAAGGAGTTTCCTCAAATTGTTCATGCATTGTGGTGAGATGTAAGGAAGGACTTCCATGATAGTCTTTGAAGAAAGTAGATGCTGAGCTCCTGGGTTTCCCATTCATGTGCTCTTACTTTATGCTTAATGGTTTGATTTATTTCATTAATCCTCCTTTTCCCTTTGGGGTCGTGACCTCTCATCTTTATGTCCTGTCATCCTCAGAAGTAACTTTTCCTCTGCAAGGAATATATTTTCTTGATCTGCCCTCCCATTAGGGTTGGTTTTTAACAACATACCTCGTTTCATCGGAGTGAGGCCTGGGAGAGAGGCCTCTTCCATCAGGCCTCAGACTCAGCCTCTGTTCCAGACAGCCTCTCACCTCCAAAGCTCTTCTAGCTGCATCCACACATTCAATGGTCCATTATTCAGCCTAGTACCCCAAGGAGCCCTCGGTCCTCTACCTCCTTCTGCCTGAAATGAGTTCTCACAGAAACTACACAGCTTTCTTCCCGCCTTGGCCCTTGGCCAGAAACTGCATTTGCTTCCTTTCTTTATACCACCAATAGAAGCTAGAGTGTGGGCCTCCTGGATCCCAAGATTTTTTTTTTTTAGTTTCTCTGGCTTTGAGGGGAAAAGATTTGTGGAAAGTAGGCTTTTTATTCCATAATGGAACTATCTTTTCTATATCTTTGTCATAAATGTATTTGTGGGAAGAATTACATTTGGAATCCCCTTTCTATTGAAGGTACTGTTTCATGCTGTGTTTAATTGTTGAGAAGTCAGCCGTCACTCAAATTCTGTGCACCAGAAG